GGGGTCCGCGCTGTCAGAACTCGGCGGTCGCCTCAGCGCCGGTCGGGCAGCGGGTGTCCCGGTGGGCAGCGACGGTACCGAGGCCCGAGCGGGGTCTGGCCCGGAGGCCCGGGGGTGTGTGTGTGTGCGCGGAGGGGAAAGCTGGGTGCCGGTTCGCGGACACGAAGAGCGGAGCTGAGGTGCTCCGTGGCGTGGGCAAGGGGCTGAGGCGGCGGCCGAGCCGCCCTCCCCTCAACTTGCCGCCTCCCGGGGAGGACGTCCCGCCCGGCTCCGCTGCCCCTCAGCTGGCAGCCGTGGGGCCGGGACTCCGCAACCTCTCGAAGCGTTTTCCTTCGTCCTTCAGGCCTGCGTTCCCGGAACCGGTTCCCGGCTTGGGAAAGGCGGTCGTTCCCTTATCGGGGTCAGGCCGGCGGCCCCGCTCGGTGCCTTGCAGGGAGATAGCTGGTGGTGGCTGTCACTCGGCTTGGAGGGACGACAGGTCGCCATGTCGTGGCAGCGTGCGGGCCGTGGGCAGCTTAAAATCGAGCGTGAGGCGGATGGGTTGTAAGTGGAGCTTTTGGTAGAGATTAAAGCTGCTCTGTGGATGGCGAAGGGATTTGCAGGACGAGAATGATTTGAGGAGTAGAAGCGTCCCTCCGAGGCTGCAAGCTGCGGGTCTCCTCTAGTTTGACACCAGGAATTTGAGCGACTGACGCTCTGCAGAGGCGAGTGGGGTCAGAGCGTGCGTGCCCTGGGACCAAAGCCGGTGTGAGCCAGCCTTGCTGCTGGGAGAAGCCGTCCTGGCTGCTTCATCCTGCTGCAGTGCTTGCTCTGCGATCCAGGGCAGGGGCCTGGTCCGGGTTAAAGCTGGCCTCAGCCAGGTTAGTTCATGACCCGATAACGTTCAGGCTCGCCTCTGTGCCCGCACCAACGAAGCGACTGCGGCGGAAGGCTGGCTTTGGCCACCTTTACACCCACCGTGGTGACAGAGTCTCGCTTCAGCTGGAGGCTTGTCTGAGGTGTTGGGAGCAAAACGAGCTCAGCTACAAAACTCCTGGCTGAGCCTCTGCTGCTCAACTCGGAGCCCTGACCAGCGATGCCACTTTTGGAGTTTTAAGCATTAATTTGCTTGGAGCTTATACTGCGAAGATGGCATGGCAGCCCCGAAACTCTGCTGCCAGTAAGGCTAAGTGATTTTAAAGTGATTCCCTAATAGTTGGCTGATCTGAGAGGAGAGGTAAAATGGGAGTGCTGCAAAGGAGGAATTCGGAGAGCATCATGATCCTTCTGGACAAGGCTCATTTTTGCATCTTGCTGTGAAGAATGTATGGGGTGAAGGCAAGTTTTGGAAGTGGCCTGTGAGAGCTGGGGCTTGAGCACTCACCTGCACTTTGGGGGAGAGGGGGCTGCCAGGTACGTTTACCTTCCAGGTGTTTAGGGTTGGGAGCAGTTCTGTACTGGTGCTTCATGGTCCTAATGCCACAGGGGGGTTGATTTCTGTGCTGAAGTACCAGGTAGCGATGGCTTCTGCGTGTGTAGTCTGTGCTGGGCAAAATATTTGATGCCATCAGTGGTCCTGCACTACGAGCTTGAGGCTGAGCTCATCTGCTTAGAGACCTGCCTAGGCAGATGTGTCACCCCTGCGTGGAGACTGTCACAGGGACATGAATCTGCTGGAGGCAGGTTTTCCAGTACCCCAGTGGCATGGGGGAGAGAGTTGAAGGGGACAAAGCCAGATGACCTTGTTTGACCTCGTTAGTGAAACCCGAAGCGTGACTCTTGAGAGCTTTTTGATGCCTTGTGCACGGAACGTTTTGATGCAACTTCATGGTTTGGCCCCTTAATGCTTCTTAGTGGAGAAGGTGGACCTTGGTTGGAGCCACAGGGTGTGGGGTGGCACAGGGGTCGCATGTTGCAGGGCTCGTGCTTAAAGGGTGAAGTCCTAACCACCGTGAGGGATTCTCACCTTGTGCCCTCGCAGAAGTTATTTGGCTTTAAGATCTTGTGTGTCCCTTAATATGAGAAAGGAGGACCTTCAGACACACCTGCTGCTTTGAAGTGTCAGTCACTCTGCCTGATGTCAGCTTGGCAGACTCGAGTTGAGGCTTAGCCAGGTGGGATGAAAGCTGCTGGGTGTCTCTGTTGGCAGGTGAAGGAGCTGGTTCTTGATAACTGCCGTTCGGACGATGGGAAGATCGTTGGTCTCTCTTCAGATTTTGAGAACCTGGAGTTCCTCAGCATGATCAACATCAACTTGCTGTCCGTCTCCAATCTCCCCAAACTCAACAAACTCCGGAAGGTGAGTCAGACCTGTGGTCCCATCTCCAGCAGTCCTTGCTCTGAGCCTTCTGCTGCCCTGTCTCTGGTGACAGTTGTTTTTCCTGTATTTGCCAGAAAAAGGCCATTTGATTTTGCTTTTTCCTCTGTAGCCTATAATCTGAGCAAGTGAAAGAGGTTGTTTTTTAGTATGCAACAAAATGCTTTTGAGCTCATTATGTGTTTAGTGTCCTTTCTCTCTTGCTTTTGCTGTTGTGCTACTGTCAGAAGCTTCAGTAACATCATAAATATTTCAGATTTTAGAGCATGTACCCCTGTGTCCTGCAGTACAGAGGTGGCTGGGGGTGCTGTGTTACTGTGGGAAGGGGGTTTTACGTGAAAACATGAACTGCTGCTTTACGGCGTGGTCTCACAAACAGGGTCTGGAGCTTGGGTGCTTATTGTAGTCCCGTTATCTGGGTGATTTTATTCCCCATGTCACAAGCCGAGATACTTCGTGACCATGTGATATTCCCTCCTGGCAGCTGGAGCTGAGTGATAACAGGATTTCTGGTGGCCTTGAAGTTCTAGCAGAGAGAACTCCTAACCTGACACACTTGAATCTAAGCGGCAACAAGATCAAAGACATCAATACCCTGGAGCCCTTGGTGAGTGGAAGGCTGTGCTGGAATCTAAGGGATGACGTTGTTTCCTTTGGGGAGCATGTCTGTGCAGCAGAAGTCCAACGTCTTGGTAACTGTTCCAACAGCACTTCGTGGTTCTGATGGGAACAGATGAGTGGGTCCAATTTGAGGCTGGGCTAATAGTTAATGGCTCCTCTGTCTGGAAAACCAGCAGCCAGTTGCTAAAAGAAGCATGAAATTGGGCTGGATGAGTAAAACTGTGGATGCAGTGCTCAGTGTCCATCTGAGAAAGGACCGTTAATGGGTCGGATGCAGTTTGAGGTAGGTGGCACCTGGGGTGTCATGGAGATGAGTTGCTTGGACACCAAGTGAGGGTGTCCATCACATCAGTCCAAAGGCGCCGTTGTGCTGGGCTGGGACCCTCTCGCCCTGGGTGCTGTCACAGCGTGCGTTGCAGGGGGTTCCCATTGCATCTGAACTGCCCCAAAGAAGACTCTTGCCTTGCGATCCTGACTCTATAGCTGAAAGGTCTGATCTAGGGCATGTGCCTCATTAGCTGTTGCCTTTGGTCCCTCTGTCCCCTGCAGAAAGCTTGAAACTGTTTTACTCCTCCTTTGCTTGGCCAGCTGCACGGTGCTATGGCCTGAGCGGGAGAGTGGCCGTGGCTGTGCCGAAAGGCACACAGGCGCAGTCTGCAGGTCTCCCTGTGTTGTGCTCTTGGGTATTTTGCCTGATGTTTTGGGCAGGATGAGTCCAGCTCAGTGATTCCTCTTGCTGGGGCAGCTGGACTTTCTGTGGTTGTTGCCCACCCTGTTCAGAAGGGAGTAAGATTTGCAAATGGTTTTACAGGGAGCTGGCTCCAGGGAGGGTAAACTAGGACAGAGGAGCTGAAAAGAAATCTTCTTTGCCTGCACTTAGCAAGAGCAATAACTTCTCTCCATCTGATGAGCACATGGTGCAAATAATGCATGCAAAGACACTTCTGTACTAGATCTGGGTAGCAAACCAGCTGTTCTCTGATGGCTGCCTGATCTTCAAACAGCATCAACTTGTAAGTAATCTAACGAATTGATCTTTGCAGAAAAAGTTGCCAAACCTCCATAGTCTGGACCTCTTCAACTGTGAGGTGACAATGCTTATCAACTACCGGGAGAGCGTGTTCACCCTTCTGCCCCAGCTCACCTACCTAGACGGATTTGATGCTGATGACCAGGAAGCCCCTGACTCAGACCCTGAAGCAGATGGGGATGGACTGGAAGATGAGTATGAGAATGGGGAAGGTGAGGATTTTCTCCTCTTGGTTTTCTTGCTGGGGAACAACCCATTTTCCCCTTCTGCATGGTCACGTTGCTAAATAAATGGTGATAATAACTTGCCACTAAAGTAGGGGCTGTGTGGGTAACCCCACTCCCCCCTTTGGCAGGCTGCGTAAGAAATGAGACTTGCTGCAAGCTGACAGGGCTTGTTGCTGGCACTCCTTGTGCATGCTTCTGCGTGATTTCCTGCCCATTGCACACGGAGCACTGCGGTTGGAGCTGTGAGCATATTGTCTGGGAATAGTGAGTGTTTGGGAACCGTAACACTTACCTCCCTCTCCTTTTGGTAGAAGGTGAGGAAGAGGATGATGATGATGAGGAAGATGATTTGGATGAAGAAGTCATTGATGATGAAGAAGATGAAGATGATGATCTGGAAGGTGAAGAGGAGGAAGATGGAGTAGATGATGAGGTGAGGCTTTCTGTCATCGGTACAAATCCGCAGCACCACGTTGCTATGTTCGGTAGTGCATTTGTCCCTTAATCTGGTGATCCATCTGACCAGATGTCCCAGATGCCTCTTTGTGGGCAGATCTGAGGAGTGCTGCCGTGTGCTCTAGCTTTTCCTGTACACCTTTTGACTCGTGGTCTGCAAAATTCGCCAGTTTGGACTTGTTTACTGCTGGGCCTGGTACTTCCTGTGACTTCAGGTGATAAAGCTGTACAGCACCCTTCGTAGGGATGCAAGAAGCTATTTGGGAACTGACAGCTTCTCCCTGCTCGGCTTGTACCTGCCACCCTGAGGTTATAGAGTAGGGCGGGAGCAGAGGTGAAGGAAGATGTTGCTGTGGAATTACACCTTGGTCATGGGATTGTGGTTCTTGCAACAACGCGTCTTGTTTTGACTCTAGGAGGAAGATGAGGAGGAAGATGGTGAGGATGATGAAGAAGATGAAGCTGATGATGGTGAGTCGAATCCTAGCAAACTAAGTGCTTGCAAAGCTGCCTCAACGGTCTCACGCATTTGCTGGTTTTGTAGAGCTTCCCAAGTTCCAGTGCAGTGCTGTTGTTGCCTGCAGCTTTTCCCCGATAGAAAGTACGGCATTTCTGCTTACGGGCACTGCTGAAACTGTTGCTTGTTTCTAAGTTGATTATTGAGTAGTGGTTATAACCAAAGGGTCACACAGTGGTGATGGGGAAACAGGTTTCAGTACTTCTAATACCAACCAAGCTGGGTAAGTCTGCCAAATACTAAAGAGGCAAATTGCCTAGAAAACCAGTTCTAAGTAGCTTGAGTGGATAGTCTGTGCAGGAGCAGGGCTTCTGTCACAGGAGGAGGAGGAAATGTGTGAGGAAATGCTTTTGGAGACATGTTTGTCTCCTCTCGGCTGTAGAGAGGAGGGTAGCCCCGACTTGAGTCCAGACTCTTCTGGTTATAACAAACTTCAAACACCTGAATGGATGCTGACAGAATATGGTGGCTGGCATGACCTCAAATGATCTCGTATGAGCTTGGTCAGAAGTGACTGAATTCTGCAGATGATACGTTTTTGGGGGTGGTCAACAAAAAAAAGCCCATTTTCAAGCAGCTGTTGAAATGTGGGATGCTTGGAGGGCATAGAAAGTAGTTAATGTCTCATGCTAGTCCAGGCTTTTCTGGGTGCCATGAGAAGCTGGGCAGGGTGGATCTCCGCTCCAAAATGGTGCCAGTCTAGTCTGTGCTTGTTCACCAGCAATCTGTGGCTGACGCGGCTTGAAGCCACAGTTGAAATGTTGTTCCACAAGACTGAACAGAGCTTTATGCTTCGCCTCTTTTTGCAGACCTTCCGCGAGGGGAAAAGAGAAAACGAAATCTAGAGGATGAAGGAGAGGAAGATCCAGAAGACGAAGAGGACGATGAGGATGACTGATCCGAGCGAGCCAATCAGTTTTACAGACTATGACTGTGCTTGTCTTAACCTCCCCGTTGTGTCTATGTGAGACTGTAAATCCCCGTCTCCCACTCCTCCCCCCTTTGTATGGCTGCAGCGTCCACAATATATTTTTTTAAGATGTAGAATACTGTAGGCATTCAGGGGAATCTTCCATACAAGGCTTACTTTCTCACAAGTATCTCATGACCAAAGGCTTTCTCCGTTCTGTGGTTTGTGCAGCAGTTTGCAAAAAAAAAAAAAAAAAAAAAAAAAAAAAAAAAAAATCAAAAAAAAAAGAAAAAAAAATTCCTCCTAGGGTATCTTTCGTGTCTGAAATCAGCCTTGCCACACTGGACCCAGAGCTCCAGCTCGCCACCCTGCCTGACAGCAAAGAAGGCGTGTTTGCTATCCGCATGCCCTCAGACCAGCTTTCTGAAGACACTTGAGCCATCTTGAGCAGTGGGTGCAAATCTGGTTCATCTAAATGGACTCAAAGCGAACGATCACTGAGGTCTCTCTGATCAGAAATAATGGTGATGTGATCTCTGGAGATGCTTGAAGATACTTTAGTGCTGGGGATGTGGGGTGCCTGGGGTCTTGGGGAGAGGGGGGGGGTTGGCTGCTTGCAAGACCTGGTACCTCTGACGATGCACCTTGCAGTAGCCCTGCACTTGCTTTCCTATTTTTTTAAAAACTGGAATATTTTTCCTGGTGGCCACCTAGTAACTTCCACTTGGATGTCCAAGTAAGTCTGATTCTTGCGGCTGTGAGCGTCTTCGCTGTGATGAGGCTTCTCGTCACCCCATAGCAGCCTCTCCCTTTAGGAAGAGATAGGAAATAGCAGGTTAAGGGATACTGCACTTCTGTCAAACTCCATTTCGCACTGTACAGAACACGTTCAACCAGTATCACTGTGATGCACCTAACTCGGCGTTCCCCGGGAGACCGTGTTAGCCTATATATTCTCAGGGTCCTTCTGCTAGCCAGTACCAGCTCTGGACAGTTGCCTCAGCGCTAGCCTGGTGTCCGCATCCTCCTCCTCTTTCCTTTTCAGCATGAAGAAATGTGCATTGATCAGAAATCCAGCTCTCTCCCACTTGTGTTTATGCTCTGCGGGAGCACAGATGGTGCCGCAGAGCATGTGTCCCCCCACCCTGCGGTGGCTGGAAGGAGGAAGGGGTGGATTCAGCCAGGTGTAGCTCTCCGCCGGAGGGTTTCTGACCCCTTGCCCACCCTTCCTCTGCCTGGAGGTGTTCAGCCGGCACATCCGTTAGCTTCTGGGGAGCACTGGCCCCGTGGCATCCAAGGGATGGTAACTGCTCGGTGCTGGGTGCCGGAGAGCCGTGCTGGGGCGGGAGTAACTGCTGTTCCTCCTGCTGTTGAGGCTCTCCACGGGTGCAGACGCACTGGCACTTTGTGGCGTTCCCGGTGGTTGCTCTGGGCAATCTGTCGGCACCCTGCGCTCGGAGGCGAGACTCGCAGCGGTTCCTTCAGAGGAGGGGTGTGTGTTGCAGCACATCCGAGTTTCTCTTGCTTTGTTCTGTCCTTGCTGTTGTCTCTTGCATTGTACAGTAGCTGTAACCATTCGGAGAAGAACTAGTCCTGTAAAATGCAAACTGAGTAACTTATAAATGTTAAAGGAATTTTTAAAAGAAATTTCAGAGCAGCAGTTACTTCTAATTTTTCCCTGCATTTTTAGCAGATCGTATGGATTTTATATTAGCTTAGTAACTGTCAGGTTTTGATTGGTCAGACTAGTCCCAGAAATAAGGATCTCCAGCCCTTTTGTATCTTTTGTTACAAAATTTGGATAAAACTTTTAATAAAGACTTCAGTTTTTAAAAATCCATTGCAATGAACGTTGTCTTCGCTGCCTCTGCTCTAGGAACATCCGAGGTGCAGTCAGCCTGCAGGAACACTTGGTGGAAGTTTTGGGGCAGTTTTTCTTGAGTCTCTTCTGGCAGCAGTGACTGTTCCGTGGCCGCAGTGTGGTCTGCTTTTGCTCTGAGCCCCAGCTGGGTGGATGCTTGGTAAGTGCAGCTCGGCTGGTGGGGCTGATTTGGGCATGTCAGGGTTGCTTGTGGGGTGGGGATGGGGACGGAGCGGGGGGGCTCTGGTGTGGGCTGGAGTACCACAGACTGTGCTGGTGCAGAGGAGTCCCAGCACAAATGCATCTGCAGGAGCTGCACAGGACAGAGCAGCCCCTGCTGCGCTCACTGCCTTTGGATGTGGCTGTAGCTGGGCTCACAGGGTCAGGGAGAGATTGGGGAAGGGTCCTGCTGCTGGATTTTAGGGTGGGCACCTCCACTGACTAGAGGAGGAAGCCGGGTGTTCAGGGTACAAACACACGCAGGGAGGTGGAAACCTACTGCAGGAAGGATCAGGGCAGCTGCCTGTGCGTGCTGCGGCTGGAGGGGTCCAAGCTGTGCCTGGTGTCACGGTGCTCCCCCCCGTCCTGGGGGCTGGGGTGGTCCTGCTTGGCTTTGTAATGAGTTGCTGCTCCATTAGGTCTCAGCAGGCAGGGGCTTCAGCTCAGGCTTCTCACTTCAGCATATCTGTGCCCCTGCTCAGAGCCTGGGGCAATGGGGGGGGTCCATGCTGGACCCGGGTGGGGGGGCAGCCCCTGGCCCTGCGTGGACCGGAGCCGGGAGGCAGAGCAGTGCTGCGGCTGCTCCCGGTCCCACTCCTCGCTGCTGGCTTGAGGGGCTGCTGCACCCCAGTGCTGCCCATGCAGCCCCCTCCCAGCCCTCCCACCTTGGGTGAGGGGCTCCCCTTTCAAATACAGCCTCGCTGCCCCCTCCCCACCCAGGTGGGTGGCTGCAGGGCTGCCCCACTGCAGTGGGGAGCAACTCGCTCCTGTGCACAGAGGCAGCGGTGCTGGAACTGCAGCTCCATCTGTCCGGCCTGGTCTGTCTGTCCAGCTGGTTCTCCGTTTCCCCTGGTTTATCTCCATCCTTGCCGTCCTTGTCCGTGGCCGGTGCTGCCTCTGGCCAGCGACTCCCCTGGGATGCAGTCCCCACTGGTGTCTGGGGAAGGCATCGTGGCGAGGGGTGCAAGCAGGAGTGAACCGTGGCAGTGTGGGATGCTGCTCGGCTGTGGGCAGGGACTGCAGCCGGAGGAAGGCACCTCCACCCCAGTCAGGCTGCTGTCGGACCCCTCTTGAGCCCCCATCAAGGGCAGAGCTGCAGGCACTGGGGCTTGGCTCTGTGTCCCCCCCCCGGTTTGGGGTACCCACGGCGGGGGGGGGGGGGGGGT